CTGAACGATATCTTCCTGCTCCATCAACGCCTTGGCTGTGAAAGCTGGCTGTAATGCTGTACGCAGTCTCTTGTGTGCAGTTCGATCCGTGGTGGTCAAAAGATTTGGAGCTGCCCAAATGAGTTTGGCCAGCAGAGACTCAATTGTCCCCTGCTTCGTAAAGTGACCACCGTCGGGGCCAGGGTTGTGGATAGTCTTAAGTGCATCTTCTGTGGCAAACGAAAGTTCGTTGGGGCCGATACGAACGACAGGTCCTGGGGGCACAACAATTAGCAGAGCTCGGGAAGCTATGCATAAGCCTGCTCAATTACCGTATTCGGCGTGCACCTTTTCGATGTCGTTATTGAGTCGATGTCCTGATACGGACCGAATCAGCCAGATCTAGAACCGTCGTTAACCTGAGGCAGTAGAAGGTAGCGGGAAACAACTTTGCGTGCATACCGGAGATATGGACGCGATGAAAGGTCCTTTTACGTGTGCGATGGGATGAAAATAGTAGTTGTAAAGAGCCAAGAGAATTGGACTTGCTATGCTCTGGAAGTAATGTAAGTGGTCAGTGGAACTTCGCTGAAGCTGGACAGCATCATTCTGCTTACGAAGAGGCCAAGGTAGAGGGCTAGCGTTCCCCATGTGGCCCGAAAAGATAGCACCGCAGTGTCCCATGGCACAGAGAGCAGTCCAAGCTTCTCGCTTTGGAATTCAAGGATCGGCGAATCCATCTTAGTTCTTTTGGTATTGTTAGTTCAATGAAGGAGTTAACAATGATAGAGTCTTTTGTCAAGTCTGATTTCGATCTCGAGCTATACTGAACAGGAACTTTTCTTCTAGAGACCAAGCAAGGTAACCAAATAGGGTCTCCAAATGCGCAACTCCTTCAACACATCAACTACCTATGCCCAGATGGTCAAGGCTTCCACCGTCTGATCGCTTCTGAGCCCTTACTGCACCGGAACACACCCCTATCGTCCCCAGTCGTTAACAACACTGCCTTCGCAACCGAAAAATGATCTGATTCGAACTTGACTGTGCCACTTTGGGCAACGCCGAAAGCTTAATAACTTTACGAGTCCGGGCCGAAGCCGTTGACAGCAGGTCAAAATAGCGGTTCAGAACGATTTGGGCACGTAAACTCTCCTGTCTCGTTCTCTACTGCACGCTCTCTCACAAGAAGCAACCGTGCTGAAACAACACGGGCTACCTGGTGTCGCTTTTGGGTTTACGAGACCTTGCTTACAAACGACTTAGCCGTGTTAGTTCCCCAACCTTCTCGTTTTAGAGGCTTATGTCGGGCAGAATCCCGCGAAATTGTGATTGTTCACATCTCGATGATTATTCTGCCCCGCACGTCATATTGCAGCAGAGTCACTAAGCTTACCGACGGTCCGAGGCCATTTAGACATATGTCAAGGCTACGCTGAGTATTAATTGTGGTTTTGTTGCTATGTTCCTATTAATGCACATCTGAGACTCCTCGGCTATCCCCTAAAAAGACCGGCTGTGACATGAGATATCAATCCGAGCTACTCGGGATGTGGGACATGCCTAAGATTCACACGTGGCACTATTGTTTGAACAGTAACTTGAACACGGGCAACTGAGTTGGTATTCTTGTTGAAGTAGAGCGTCGATAGTTCAAGCCAAGTACCATTGAACGCAGCTACACGTGCTTTTTCGCAGGCGATTGCCTAGTTCCGACGTCTTCTCACGTGGTGAGCATGTGTTAAAGACAAGCTGAGATGACCTGCTCGCCAATGTTGGCAGTTGATGGCATCCTCCCGTCAGCTCCCAGGTTCGATCATGCATCGAAGAACCATGACTCGCCTGAATGTAACAACATCTAAAGGCTGGGCAGCTCCCTGACCTGGGATGAAAAATAAACTTGGGGCAGAATATACTTCAGATGGGAACTCCAGTCATCGCAAAGTCTAAAAGCGCGTACATCTCGGACTTGTCTGGATGTGCCGACGGTGACTTAAATCTCCGCATCAGATTAACGCCTATGGCCCGATGTGGAGAAGGACACCTTGGCCCACTAGCCATGACCTCCTTGCGAGTTCTCTTATGCCTTGAGGGGAGCACAAGATCCTCACATAGCTGACAACTATACAAACAACAACAATAAGGACAGCGGAATTTCAACTCGCAGAATCTATGCTGTTCCCTGCAGAATTTGACGATGCGCATGGTTTCAGCTCGAAAATGATAAAGGCACCTTAGTACTTGGGTTTTCTTCAAACCCTCCGCCGGATAAGTAGAACAACTCTATCGAAATGGTGGCCCGTCTAGAACAATGCATTCGACTCAAGTCAGTACGGCCACCTTTCCGGTGTGCAGGCTGGAGCAAACTTCAAAACCTTGTTTTCCACGCTGTCACTGTTGTACTGCAACCTTAGACTTTGTTGAAATATGCTTCCCATCATCGCGTGGAAGGACCTTCTTATCATTGGGATTTCCAATGAAAAAGGGCGATGCCACCTAGGCACCATGTGAGCGGGTGAACTTGAGATAAATCTTGTTTGCCAAAGTTTCCTCAGACGTTGAACTCGACCATCTGGGGGTTGTAATCCGATCTGTGTGAACCCTGGGCCATGTGGGATGGTACTCGGGTTCGGCACGCCTTTTCCTAATGAAGCCTTTAAAACCTCAAAACGGTGTGTGTGATACTTGTAGGACTGGACGAACAATGATGAATGTGGTAATATGATCACCCATGAGCGAGCAGTCTCAGATCTACCCATTTCAACGAACACCGACCTTCTAACTTTCACCCAAGTACCAACCTGCATACAACCGTAGTGTCCTCCGACCCAAATCGCCAAGATGTTTGGAACCCTCATGTATGATCTCCAACACAAAGAACCAACATTTATAGAAAACAACCCCGAGGCTGTCATCAATCGCAATCGACGGGGAAAACCTCACATCGCATGCGAATACTGCAGAGCACGAAAGGTTTGTTAGCATTGAGTTTTTGAAAAGCTATCAGTTCAATACACTGACGTTCAAGGGTTAACACAGCTTCGATGCAACGGAGACCCAAATGGGTGCGATAGGTGTAAATCAAGCTCCAACACTTGCAAGTACCCAACCAACAGAAATACCGTTCGAAAACGAAAGCAATCGACTTCTTCGACCAAGGAAGTATCGAAGACCCGACAGTCTTCTTTGGACAGCTCCGCGGCACCTCAATCGCCTTCATACTCAGAAAAATTCGGCTTGGATCCGTCATTACTATTCACGACGGACCAGGAAGCCTCAGAAGTCCTAACCGAACTGGGCAACCTCCAACGACAAAGCAGTTTACCAAGTCCTACGCTTGACATAACGAGAATCAGTCCAAACGAGACTATGGAAGATACTGGAAATGCACAGCACGCGAAACAAGAACAAGATCAAATCGACCACTGGCTGGCATCATGCAGCCTGTTGTCACCGAACGCAACGATTGATGTGGCGAATCTCAAGAGTGGAGATTTCACCGGCCCATGGCAAGAGCTAGGGAAAGATACCGCATACTTCGATCCAGCCGACGATAGTGGCGAGGACGGAATCAGTTCCCAGGAGACTCAGCTTGACTTTGAGATGAATGGTACGTGATTACCTCTCCTATTTCGCAAGTATCTGCTAGGCATTCCATTTGACTCAGATGTCATTAGACAGCAACGAGGTCTTGGATGACTCGTCGTCAACGCCGGGGCTTTCATCATCAAGTCTTGACCTCTTGCTTGATGAGAATTTCCCATCAAATCTCATGATTTCCCCAGTTGATCAACCAACCTCCGCCAAGATACAGCCCAGTCGCAAGTCAACCCCAGTGGCTTACAATATGGCAGCGCCTGCAACGAGCCCCCTGACTGCATTACTTGAGGGTTCAGATCTTGCGGTCAAGAAGAAGAGCGAATGTCGATGTTTGAGGCTTGCTGCACATTTACTTGAGCAGCTTGGGAACGAAGGCGCCAACACGGAAACCGCCACCGTGGATGTGCTTCTCAATTGCTGCCGAGAAGCCATCAAGGGATGTGACTCAATCCTGAGTTGCACCCTATGCAAGTCTCGATCAGAAAGCATGATGCTACTCGCCATGGCTGGGCAATATCTCAGCAACATCTGCGAAAAGACAGTCCGCTCATACGTGGACGTCGTTCAGAAACTGCAGTCGGGTAATTCTCAGCTTACTGGAGATTCTATGTGGTTTCAGTCTTACAAAATCGAGAGCCCAGTGGAGAAGAACCAGGTTCTGAAATGCCTCGTCACCGGACAGCTCACCGAGTTCTGCCAACTCATTGGAAAAATCAAAGCTAGGGTAGGAACGAGAAAGGCGCACCTGGCGCCATTGCTGGGAGCGGAGAGGAAAATTCAGTGTATGAGGACCATGTTGATGCAGTGTGAAAGTTACCGGACTAATGTATGAACTTGCTTACACGTAAGGTGAAGTAGGTAACAAACTTGAATAATAATCGGATAGTTTGGTCACTTCAATGTTCGCTACTGTAGTGTTTAAGGTAGAAATAACTCGGAAGTCAACCGGCGGAGGCAAGGTTATCCAGACAAAAGAGCTGTCCCCCTGAGTTCAATAGGAGTGTGCGAGCCTTCCGTTACGTTGCGTCCAACTTTCTCCTCAAACTCATCTGCCCTAGCCCATAACTCAGACGCAGACAGGGATCGGGACTGTGTTCAGATGCCCCAGCCGGAAGGTAGAGTTCTTGTTTGCAGGCTTCCACATGGATGTGAGCTGCGGAATTAAGGGTCACAAGGTATCGTTTGTGGGCATTGCTGGCGAGCTTCAATAGCATGATATTATCCCATCGGCCGGCAGGTGAATGGCACGTTTTCATGCCCTCTAGCTTCGCGTCGTAACCACATTGTTATCCCGCCGGCAGCGGGGTTTGCTGGCTTCAACATTTCCATTCAACGACATGCGAACACATGCAATGGAACTGTACAATGTGCCACGAAGCTCAATTTGTATGAACACTCTAAGGGAAAAACGGCAGCAAACTCTATGCGGTCTTGACTAGGGTTGGAACAAAGCGACTCTTTTCTCCAATCTTTTCAGCCAGGACGCTTAAGCTCGGGCTGTGCAACACGTCAAAAATGCTTGTCGTTTCGGCGCCCGCGCTAGACACGAGCCAATTGCGCAATTCCACAGCAATCAGTGAGTCAACGCCGTACTTGGAAACGGGGTGCTTCTTGTCGATTTCGGCAGCATCCAGCCCAAACATTTCAGACAGCTTCGATATTACAGCATCCAAGATAAGGGCCACCGCACTTGTGCTGCTGGTCGCTGACTGCAACGAGTCAGACAGCCGCATTGCTGTCCCACCTTTGCGGTCTGTCCGTCCACGCGTGCCGCTCTGTTTGCTGCGGTTGGCGCAGAGAGACGAGAACCGAGTGTCGTTTACCCAGGCGACCGTGGAAGTCTCATCAAAATCGACAATGCCTGTGATGAGCTGACTAAGGTCGACAGGCCGACTGGGCTTCTGGATAGCTGTCTCAATGATCTTGAGTAGATTGGCCTCATCGATATCAGCTAGGCCGGTCTTGGTCAGGCGTTCTGCAACTCCCTCAGTGTTGGCAACGAACCCGACCTCTTGAATACTGGCCAAATCAATTGAAACTCCAGGAAGACCCTTCGATGTGCGGTACTTCGCAAAAGCATCTTGGAAGGTTCCTCCGGCCGAGTAATTGGCTTGACTGGTGTTACCTCCGAGTCCTGTGAGGGACGAAAGTAAAATGAAAAAGTCAAGGTCCGGAAGGTGATTATGCATATTCCACGTGGCTGCAATCTTAGGGCCTGTTGCAGCTTGCCATTGCTCATATGTCATATTGGGGAAAATAGAGTCCTGGTAGGTGTTAGGTCAATATTCTGACTTTCCACAGGAGGGTTGCTATGCAGACTCACATTCAAAGTCATAGCAGCCTGGATCACCCCCCGAACGGGTGGGAAGCTTCGACCAGCTTCGTGAACGACTCGGCGGAAATCATTTTCGTTAGAGACGTCGCAATTCCGCACGATTGCTCTGCAACCATTCGTCTCAAGCTCGGAGATCAGAGCCGCAGATCCTGGATGCGTACGCGCGTTCCGGGAGAGGATGATGAGGCTCTTGCAGCCAAGGTCCCGAGCCATCCAGCGCGCAATAGATTGACCAATGCCACCCATACCACCAGCAATGAGGTAAGTTGCGTTTTGTAATAGACGAGCTGGGATTGAGGAAGGAATGACCTGCTTTTAAAATCAGCAATTGGCTAAAGGATAGGTGTGTGAGTCTCTTACCTTCACTAGATGTGTCTGTCGTGGTTGAACTACGATCTTCCCAAGGTGTTTTCCGCTTAGCATCAATCGGAAAGCCTTGTCAACTTCTGAAATAGGGAAGGTGGTCATGGGGGTAACCACCCGTAACTCTCCTCGACTGAACATCTCCATGATACCCTGGAGAGCATTCTGAACAATGTGACCCTTAAACTTGCCCAGCTGAAATAGGTCGACTGCGGCAAAGGTCACTGCGCGCCGGAGAGGGCTCATGTCTAGGTTCTTGGCCGATTCTATGTCTCTCTTCCCAATCTCGATGAAACGACCAAACCTCGCCATGCAGTTCCAAGTCTCTTTGAGCAACGGCCCAGCAAGAGAGTTCAGCACAACATCGGCGCCTTTGCCGTCTGTGGCACCCATCAGAGCAGGACCAAAAGACGTGTCTCTGCTGGAGAAAATGTGGTCTTGCGGAATGCCAAACTCTTTCATGATAAAGTCGCGTTTGGCCTCGGTTCCGACCGTGGCGAAAACTTCAGCACCTCTTTGCTTGGCGAGCATCACAGCGGCCTGGCCAACACCTCCCGTCGCTGCATGGATAAGGACGGATTCTCCCTTTGAAAGTCGGCCAACGTCAAAGAGCCCATGGAATGCCGTGGCGAAAACCATAGGGATTGTCGCCGCTTCCTCCCATGACATGCTGTCTGGGACACGAGCAGCACAGGGCCAATTGATAGAGACTCTTGACGCCCAATGTCCGCGTAGGATGGCACAGACTCGGTCTCCAACCTTCAATCCGCTCTTCTGCTCTGCCTCCGGGCCCATTTTAGTGACGATGCCACTGCACTCATAACCCATGATGGTTTCATCTAGTTGACCAAGTGCCACTAAAACATCCCTAAAGTTGAGACCAAATGCGCGAGGCTCGATCTCAATCTGGTCCTTATCCAAGTCTTGAAGATTGACTTCCCTGAAGTGCAAGGAGTCTAGGAGGCCAGGCATGCCAACGTCCATTTGTAGATTTGAGCCTTCACCGCTGGTGCCAAACGGTTTGAGTTGAGGCTCTTGCTCAGCAGCTTCGGGCGATAATGACATGTTCCCCGAGTCGTCATTATAGATACGCGTTATGTGGAGGACAGAGTTCTTGACGGCGTATTCGCAATCAAACTCGTACGAGCTGAGGGAAAGATCAAAGGTAGCTTTGAAGACATTCCCAATTAGTTCGGCGTTCTTTGCGGACCACAGGGGCTCGGTAGTCTCGAGATCGAGGGAGATATATCGTCGTCCGGCATCTTCCATCCTGAGGGTGCGAAGTAGTCCAGAGTGCAAAGCCATGTCAGGTTCAGCGCCGTCGATGAGACTACCTCTTGTAACCCACAGTACGCCCCGAGCGGCTGTCAAGAGTCTTCGAACACAGATGAATTCTTCACGGCTCAGCCGTCTTAGCAGGGGTGCGACTGCTTCTTCAAGCATTATGCAGACTTTGTCGGTAGCATCAACTGATCTCCAGTCCATGGTATTGCAGCTGGTGCCGGTCTCGGACTGAATTTGACCCTCCAAGTCCCGCATCCAGTTGACAGGGACTGTTTCAGCCGGGCTCAGTACGAAGACTTCAGAAGGAAATGTTGCTGGTGCGACCGCGGTTGAAGTCATGACACTGAAGGAGTAATTCGCACGATCCTCCATGTCCTTCACCTCTAAATCAATTCCACTGAATCCAGTATTGGCAAGAACCCGTCCCCAATGATCAAGAGTGAGGTTAGGTCCACTCTTGCGCTCGGCTTCTTCAGCTAGCCACCAGCCAGGAAGTGCCCCAAAAATCAGCTGTACATCCAGCGTGTCTTTCGTGGTCTCAACCAGAATGAGCTGCCCGCCCTTCTTCAAGAGTTTACGAACATTTCTCATCGTCTTCTCCATATTCTTGGTAGCATGGAGAACTTGACATGCGATAATAAGATCATACGAGCCTGCCTCGAAGGACTGCTCCACAGGATCAATTTCGATGTCAAGTTTCCGGAAGGTGATCATGTCTCCAAAATCTTCGAACTTCTTCGCCGCAGCTTCGAAAAATCCGGCGGAGACATCAGTGAACGTGTATGATGAGAAGCGGCGTCGGTGATCAGGGGTGTCTTCAGACAGGCCGTTGAGTACTGATCGCGTGCATCCACCGGTGCCTCCTCCAATCTCAAGAACTTTCGCACGGGGGTGCTTCATTGAGTGCATATGCACCAGTTTTTGAACCTGCTCGTAAGACCTGTTGCATCTGAGAGCCTTCTCGTAGAATTCGTACAGCAGGTTGCCTTCCATCATTACCTCTAATGGAGCGACCTGCTTTCTGAGAATACGAGACAGGTTCTTCCCAACGCGACATAGAAGACGTCCATTAACGCTCTGGGAGGCAACTTCATCGAAGAGCATGTGGCGCATGCCTTGACTTGCTTTGGCCCATGAAGCGCTTCCGCGAGCGAGCGTCCCATCAAGTCCAAATTTGTAGTTGACTTCCATCCAATCATAAAGCGACTTGTGATACCACTCCATTTCTCCTAGGGAAGTCTTGTCGAAGCCCAGATCTTGTATGGCGTCTTGTATGAAATACCACGCTGCCTTGACAAGCCTCTTATTGACTGACAGCTCAGATGGATCAACCTCGGACTTGAGTTCCGCCTTCAGCTGATCAGTTGGCATGAGAGAAAAGTCGGGATGCCAATGCATCTTGAAAAGCAGCTTAGACGGGTTTTGTTTGTGCTGACCCAGACCTCCACCGCCTATTGCCTGGCAAAAGAGACCCTTGACTTCCAAACTCGTGGCTTCTGGTTTGCTGTGATCACGAGTGGTTATTGAAGACCGGAAGCCGGACTTGTCGCAACGATCAATTGTTGCAAACGACTCGAACTTGGAATTTGGAGTCGAGACGATGGACTGCGAAACATATATGTGCTGGATGGCTCGAGGCATCACCATCGAATTCTGGAATGCCTTGGGAGAGAGTGCGGAATAAGCTCCTTGAAAAATCGAATCCAGTGTGGTAGGGTGGAGAAGGTGACTGCTTGAGGATTTCACATCCGCCACCTTGAACTGGAACCTCGATCCAGAATCGCTGGCTTGAATGCCAACCATGTTTTGGAAGGTCGGGCCATGTTGCAGCCCCATCTTCCTCAGTCGGCCGAACAAATCCTCAACTCTCACAATACGGGAATACGCAGAATTGCTTTGTCCGGTAACGTCGCCCACACGTACAGCAGGCGATAAAGTGGCCCTTGACTTCTGTTTCTGGGAGATATAACCGTGAATATGCTGAATCCACGAGTTCCCGTCGCTGGTTGGTGATTCCATGGAGAATTCATACCACCCCGACTCCAAACTCTTGTCATCACAAGGGTGTAAAATTAGCTGGATCTCGATTCCGGCTTCTGTATCCGGGATGACCAGGGCATTGCTGATCTCGATATCTCTCAGAGAGTAACCATCTATAGTCTCAACTGGAACTTCAGAGAATTGTCGCAGAGCTTCTATGGCCATAGAGATTCCGCCGGCCCCCGGATAAACGATATCAGACTGGACCAGGTGATCCCGAAGCCATGGAAGATCATTGGCTCTGAGGAAGTGCCTCCATATGGGGCTGGTTGAGGAGGGCCCTGGCAACATAGACCCAAGTAGCTCATGGCGAGCATGTTTCCGCATGCGATGAGCGACGTTCATCCGGGACTCTTGCCAGAAGCTATTGGCATGGTTCCAAGGATACGAAGGGAGGTCTGAGATGACTCGTAAACTATTGCAATCCTGCTGGCAGTTCACAGCAGAGAGATCAATTGGAGATCCCTTGCACCATAAAGCTCCAGCAGCCATCTGCATGGATACTGCAGCGTTCTGGCCTCTGACCAAGCCCGATATATAAGGCAGATTGAGTTCCTTTAGGACCGGGACTTTGCAGATTTGCCGAATTGGACCAGCAAGAGCTGAGTGTGGACCAAGTTCGAGAATGAAGTCCACGTTGGCCTCTCCACTGGTCCCTGAAATGCACATGTTCTCAAATGATTGAGAGAACAAAACCGGCCACAACAGGTTATTCACCCAGTGTTGTGAACCTAGCTTCTCCGGATTATCGATCAAATTGCCCGTGACGGGTGAGGAGTAAACAAGCTTTTGCCATTTAAGCTTCGGGTGAATGATGTTTTGTAGCTCTGTGAGATATTCTTCCGCCATAGGAAGCATGTGATGGGAATGATAGGCTGACTTGACCTTCAGTGCGCGAGCGAAAATCTGATCCTCGGAGAATTGCTTCTCTAGACGCTGGATCGCATCTAAATCTCCTGAAAGAGTGACACTTGATGGACTGTTGACGCAAGCCACGGTAACGGTGCCCTTTGTGACACCGTTCTCCGCTAAGTAGGCCCATGCATCATCGGCTCCGAGACCGACTGCCATCATACCTCCCGGAACAGTGGAAGCGTTCTGATATTTCTCCGTCAAGACACCACGGAAATAAGCAACGCCCAAAGCCTCTTCGAATGTTAACGCGCCGGCGGCATATGCTGCTGCAATCTCGCCACTTGAGTGACTGGTGACAGCGCTGGGTTGGATTCCCCACGACTCCCAAAGGTCAACTAGACAAATCTGAAGAGCGACGCAGACGGGCTGGCTCAAGCGAGGCTCGTTGACGCGTGTAGAAGTCTCGTCCCGTTGAAGCTCTTCTACAAGGGACCAGTCTGCACCGTAGTCTCCCAAAACGACATCTGCGCGAAGAAGAGCCTTTCTGAAGACCGTATAGACTGAGATGAGTTCGCGACCCATGGCATGCCATTGAGCTCCTTGTCCATTGAAGACAAAGCCGATGCGAGGAGGATCCTTCGCAAGAGTCACAGCTTTCTTAACGGGGTCTTCAAGAGCCTCTATCAAGCTTGCCTCACAGTCGGTGCTCGATATAGCGACTCGCCACGGGAAATGCGACCGACGCGTTTGGAAGGTGTGTGCCAAGTTGTCAAGATCAAGCTTTTGGCCCGACGTTGTCCGAGCCTCTAGGTAGCTCTTGAGGTTATTGACCATCTGCGCAGTAACATTGGAATCTTTGCTACTCATGACAATGAGACGAGGCTCGGTCTTCTTCAGTGCTATCGAAGAACACTGATTGATGTGCTCACTAGCACCATCGATGATCACATGCCCGTTGGTTCCTCCGTAACCGTAGTTATTGACTGAAACACGCCGCGGAATTCCTCGGGGCCAGTCCTGTGCTTTGAGTGGAATCTTTACGCTGAGTGACTTCATATCGATGTCGGGGTTGGCTTTTTCGTAGTTCAGGTTCGGCGGAATCACCTCATTTTTCAGCATCATGATAGCTTTGATAACTCCTGCGATTCCGCTGGCCGCCTCCAAATGACCCAAGTTTGTTTTGATAGATCCCACTAACACGGGATTATTGACAGAACGTCCTTTGCTGAATACGCGGCTTATGGCGGCAGCCTCGATAGGATCGCCGGTTGGAGTGCCCGTCATGTGCGCTTCGACGTACGCTGTCTGAGAAGGATCAAGCCCGGCTCTTCGATAGCATGCTCGTATCAACTCCTCTTGCGCCTCAGAAGATGGCGACGTGATGGTAGGTGTTTTACCATCTTGATTGACTGCAGTCTCTCGAATGACGGCATGGACGGAATCTCCATCAGCGAGTGCATCTCGGAGCGGCTTTAGAAGAAGTGTTGCAATGCCTTCTCCCCTGCCATATCCGTTTGCCCGACTATCCCAAGCGAAGCATCGGCCATCAGCACCAAGAACTCTATCACTTGGGTCAGTATTTATGATTCGTCCTTCGTCTGTTAAAAAGCTCACCCTAAGCTCGACATAACAATGAATGGATCAGGATTGAGCAAAAGATTTGAGGCGCCAACGATGGCCATTCGAGACTCTCCATTGCGAATGCTGTTCACAGCAAGATGCAGAGCAGTCAAACTTGCTGAGCATCCAGTGTCTGTGGTAAGGCTTGGGCCACGAAGATCAAAGAAATGAGAAATTCTGTTTGACATCATCGCGACACCATTGCCGGTTAGAGTCGTTCTTGGTAGTGTGTCCGGGTCACGCAAGAGACTGTCATGATAATCCCTGGAGAAGGAACCGACGAAAACCGAGGTGTCACTTCCTGCAAGCTGTTGCAGAGTTACACCGGCTACGCGGTTGATAATTAGCATTGACACTTTGGTGCATTGATTACCCTTCTTACCATTTTCCGCTGATTCAAATACGGACTCAAGAAGCAGACGAATTTGTGGATCCATCGCCTACCAAACTCGTTAGTGACGCGGAAAGCTCACGACGTCTTGTTTCTAAAAGAAACTTACGTTGGCAATTTCAGCGGTAAAGTTGAAAAACGACGCATCGAACTGAGAGACATCATCTTTGAGAAAATGGCCGCCGACCACATTTGTCTATCCCCAGGCTTGTCAGTTTCCATGATCACAACGACGAACTCTGCCCTGAGTCTTTACCTTCCCATTCTTAGCATGATCTTTGTCATAAAAAGCATCGGCATTGAATCTCGACTTTGGTATTGGAGACCAGCCGTCTCTTCCCTCAACGATGAGTTGCCATAGCTTCTCTGGAGTTGTCGCGTTTCCAGAGAACTTGCAACTCATCCCAATGACTGCGATGGGCTGTACAGGCCCTCCTGTGGGCGACTGCATGCTCTCCACCGGGGAGCTAAGCTCAGAGGAAGACGGTCCATGACTCATGTAGGGTGCCATTATGAATATCTTAAGTGGGATACCGGGGATATTCTCTCTTACACACGGACCAAAAGTCGTAGTTGGTTGATGAGATCGAGAGAAACTGGATGGAAGTGGGTATTCTGTTTGATAGACAGAGTGGCTATGTTGGGCGATGCATCAAATCGATCTCAATTCTAAGAGGGCCTCTATCCTCAGTCTTGATTCTATTGATACAAGGCATCAGCTGGACCATTGTTACCTTCCAGCTTGCAAAGACATCTAGCTCGGTCTCCACGACTGACCATGGGAATCGGACTTGACCAAAAGTGGTCATGCCGAGTAAACAAAGTTGAATGTCTCTTTCTTTGATCCTACAGCTCGGTATCGCGATCAGAGTTAACAATGAAGCGCTATATCTCACGACCTATATGCAACCTGAAAATGGCAGATCCGCGAAGGTTCGGCGGCAATTGTGGGATAGCCCTAGAACGAGCGCTGCACGACGGAAAGCTACCAATTAAGGCCTGAAAGCCTAAAGAGGCGAGCGTGCCGGGGTTGTGTTGTAGGTGTTAGCGGCTGACGCCACGGCCTGTTCGTCACGACTCGTGACGCACCGACGGAAGCGTAACCTTGAACAAAGAGAGTTGTCATTGACACGCAACTGTAACCATCATCCGCACCACCTCGAGCTGGAAGATCCTTGAGAAATCATCGCAATTTGTAAGCTATAGCTATTCGGGGAGTGGATTTGTCTCTTTATGGGTGCCTTGGTGTCTCAAATCATGTGTTGTCAGCTTGTAGCGCGATTAGATCAAAGAAACAATTCTCTCTGTTCTAAGCAGTACTCCTTCGATAACCTTGGATAGGCTCATATCATTATTAGTCTTTCCTAGCGTTGTAATCGACGCTACTCTCATACGCAATCTGGTTTAACCGCAAATTCAGCATACAATCGACGTTCAATATGCCTTCGACGGTAAACCTCTCGAGATGGGCCAAAATGGGAAGCGGGAAATCCAGCTTGAAGTCTGATGAGCCCACGGTGACTCAACAACCAGCTCCTCAGAGTCCTGTCCCTGAGTCTGATGTTGATGGACCAAGTGGCTTGAAGTTGGGTGCCATCACTCTTGGACTCTGCCTTACACTCTTCCTGGTGGGGCTGGTAAGATCCATCCTTTAAAGATAAGTCCCTGAGGCTAGAGCTTACACGAGATTTCACAGGATAACATCATTATATCAACAGCCATCCCACGTATCACAGACGAGTTTCGATCTATAAGCGACATTGGATGGTACGGAAGTGCTTATCTTCTTACAACTTGCACCTTTCAACTCACCTTTGGGAAACTTTACTCTCTTTTCTCCATCAAAGTCATCTATCTGATCTCTATCATCATCTTCGAAATCGGCTCGGCTATATGCGGCGCTGCTCCCCAGTCTGTGGTCCTGATCTTGGGCCGGGCGATCGCAGGTGTTGGATGTGCAGGTATCCTGGCTGGAACCTTCACAATCATCGCTGTGATCATTCCGCTGCCCAAGAGACCTGCATATACTGGCTTAGTTGGAGCTGTTTACGCCATTGCTTCGGTTGTTGGGCCGTTGCTTGGGGGCGCCTTTACCGACAAGGTGACATGGCGTTGGTGTGTAAGTCATTGATCCACCGGATTAAAGACGAGTTATCAAGATTCGTAGCCTGACGATGAATAGTTCTACATCAACCTCCCAACCGGGGCTGTCGCTTTCGTCATCATAGTCTTCCTTTTCCAATCGCCACCTCGCCTTGACAATGGAAAAAAGAAAACTCTTCTGGAGAAGGTTATGCAAGTCGACCCTATTGGTACACTCGCTCTGATGCCTGCCGTCATCTGCTTGCTTCTCGCGCTGCAATGGGGCGGGACTGTCTACCCATGGAGCAACCCGAGAGTCATTGTGCTTTTCGTACTGTTCGGCGTGCTCTCGACTGCATTCGTTTTCATTCAGACCAAGAATGGCAAAAATGCCACACTGCCCATCAAAGTCATCTCTCAGCGTAGTGTGGCCGCAGCTTGTTGGTTCTCTGTTTGCACAGCCGGGGCTGACTTCACGCTGAGGCAGTACATCCCGATCTGGTTCCAAGCCATCAAGGGTGTTTCTGCCGTAGACTCGGGTCTCATGAACTTGGCCCTGATTCTTTCCACAGCTCTGGCGTCGATTGTCAGTGGAGTGGGCATCACACAGATTGGGTACTATAACCCTTTCATGATTGCTTCGACCCTTTTCATGTCAGTTGGATCTGGTCTTCTCACTACGTGGAAAGCAGACGTTCCAACTCGGGACTGGATCGGATATCAAATCCTCTATGGTCTTGGATCCGGCCAGAGCATGCAGACTCCTTTAATGGTAGTCCAAACCGTCCTGCCCATGGAGGAGATACCGCTTGGAACTGCTCTAGTAATGTTCCTGCAGACCTTTGGCGGCGCCATTTTCATATCTGTCGCCCAAAACGTCTTTACAAATGAGCTCCGGTCCGGCTTGGCAAATGATTTACCAAACATCAACGCTACTACGATCGTTGACGGCGGGGCAAACAGCATTAGGCAGCCGGGGATGCTGCCACCAAATACTCTTGATTCCGTCCTGCGCATCTACAGCAAGTCTCTTACCAATTCATGGTATGTTGCTGTTGGGCTAGCGTGTGCAAGTATCGCAGGAAGCGCTCTGGTGCAGTGGAAGACTGTGAAACAGGCAAGCCCGCCACTGGCCGGGGACGAAAATGGGGATAAATCCGCGAAGAGTGAGGTGACTGGCAGCATGGAGATGAAGCACCAAGATCTCAGCCCAACTGAGTCTGATGAAAATAATGACGTGTTCAATAAGCGCAACGACACCATCTGAGCACAGCATGGGTCAAGAGAACAGAAAAATCAGAAACATGAGAATAGAGTCACATCCGTGTAGTTATCATCTAGATGGGTCCGCTTGCTACCAAAGGGCGGAGCCCATAAGAAGCAAAGTTCTGGGGTTGAAGTGGTTTTTTATAATTAGGGCTTGCCAATGTGAAAGAACATAATAATCAGGTCAAGACCTGAGGAGGGCCACTGAAACAACAGACTACGACTTGCACCGGAGTTGTATCGTTATTTTGTATGCGGCAGAGCGTATAGGGCAATGCGGAGCAAACATGCGGTCGTGCTTGTGTATCGATAACTTTTGCGTCCAGCGCTGCAGAATACGAGATAAGGCTGGTAGAAGTCAGAAGAGAATGCATTTGAAAGTTGAGAGTAGAAATTTGAAAGTTGAAATTCGAAATATAGCTGAGTGACGTAGACTAGACATGTCCAAATTCCAGATGATCGCTGCGGTCTATTCTTATGCAATAAATCATAAAAATGATGGTGGCTGTCGGTAGTATTGATCCACCGCCCATTCCATAGCCCTCACAACGGCCTTGATTTCAGACTCCTTCTTGGGTGGATGGTGCCCTCCTGAGTGATGCAGCTTCTTAGAAAGCCTGGCATCGCACATCTGGTACCCTATCTCATGCATGTCGTGCATGAAAGGAAAGTCTCGCCTGCCAGACACGTGGACCGTTGGAATATGAATGCGCTCTGAAAGTAACATGGGATGCAGTACACGAGGGACCGTGGCGCCTGCATCCCTGAAGAAATCTTGGTTAAAGTCCGACAGGACGGCCCCGATTTTCAAAGCAGATTGGAATGTCCGAACTAGACAGTCATTAAAGACTTGCTGCCGAGGTGCGAGATCTTTTGCGTGCATCCCGCTGCGACGATATGTGCAAAGTTGGTCGATTTCACTTTCGCAATATGTCGAGTCTGCCGAGAATGGCACGACGGATGAGAAGAGAATGGCGAACTTGAAGTCGGGCTCTTCGCCGCTGACTTGCTGGTGGTAGATGTACGACAGGGCTAGTGATGCACCTTGACTGAAGCCTAATATGCCATCGAAAGGGCCTAGGTCGTCGACAGTGGCAGCGATTTGGTGGTGCGCAGCCTGAATTTCTGAGGGCGAGTATCCCGTCGCGTGGGAATAGAACGGTCCGCTGAGAGCTGGACTCATGCCTAAGATTCATTCCAGCATTAGCGTCGACTGATCTTGAGTATGCTTGATTTTGAAGTGGCACGTAGGCCATCTTCGAGAAGGATTCCATAGGGCTATCTTGGTGGTGTTCTTACCAGGCCCGCGGTGCGATGGTACAGCTCCGTCAACCAACACAAACTCGTAGCTTGCGTCGACCGATCTCATCAAGCCAACGAGCTGGCTCTCTAGGATCTTGGCAGAACTGCCGACACCATGCAATGCTAGAATTCTCATGTTGACAGAAGCGCTATCAAAGTAATTTCACGATAAGAGAACTTTCCAAGTTGCGAAAGCGAAGGGAAAAAGCAACGAGAATCTGCTTGGAAATTTACTTCTTTACTGCTACTACCAACTGTGAACCAGAACTTTTACAGGCCTGTTAGCTAGGTTACGGCCGTCCTGATCAGGAGATTTGTTGACCTCTTCACCAAATCGGATTGAGCCGAAGGCCCCGTCCCGTGCTGAATACGGTAATCGGCAGGGATATGCTCACAACTGGCTGGCTAGTGATGGGCAATGCTACTACTGCAGAGCCAAGAATTACTGATTGATGCCGGTTGGAATTGCCTCATTATCGATGATTGGGAAGAATTCCAAACCATCTCACAAGTCCCAAATCGCATGCATGATAATCTTTTCACACAATTTTCCGTATCAGAGCCAACCAAGCAATAGCAAGTAAGCCCATCATGAGCCCGTGTGACGAACAAGAACCAATTGCCATTATTGGCACAGCCTGCCGCCTGCCGGGGGAGGCAACATCGGTGGGAAGGCTCTGGGACATGATTAGCCATGGCAGAAATGCCCATGGAAAGGTACCGTCTTCGCGGTGGGACGCAGATGTGTGGTACCATCCTGACCCTGATCGTAAAGGATCTGTGAGTACAACCAGTCGAAGATCGTACTACCGAATTAACCGTTCAATCATTGCAGATTAGTGTGAAGCATGGATACTTCCTGGAGCAGGATGTCTCTGTCTTTGATGCACCCTTTTTCTCCATGACTGCCAAGGAGGCAGCTGGAATGGACCCAATGAAAAGACTTCTGCTGGAGGTCAGTTACGAGGGCTTTGAGAATGGTGAGCTTTCTCGATGCTTTTGTGTCCGAGATCATGAGTAACACTGAACATAGCCGGGATTGTGGTGGGCGATCTGACGAATTCTCAGACGGGAGTCTACGTCGGCTGTATGACAAGCGACTATGAGCAACTCTCAACGCACGACATTTTCGATGTCGGAGACGTAGCGGCATCTGGGATGAGTGAAGCGATGACCGCAAATCGAGTTTCATGGTTTTTTGGACTTCGCGGACCTAGCCTTACACTCGACACAGCCTGCTCATCGAGCTTATATGCGCTGCACTTAGCTTGCCAGTCACTCAAATTAGGCGAAACGAACATGGTATGAAGTCCCCCTAAATTGGTGAGGGACGGAGCCACTAACTTTTACTCAGAACCTGGTCGCTGGCGTTAACTTGATTTTGCACCCCAACTTTATGCACCAACTATCCTCTATGCATATGCTTAGCCCCGAGGGCATCTCACACTCATTCGACCACAGAGCCAACGGTTATGGGCGAGGTGAGGGCATCGCGTGTATCGTCGTCAAAAGATTGAGAGATGCACTACGCGACGGCGACACCATTCGAGCCGTTATTCGCGGCACTGGGACCAACGCAGATGGCAAGACACCGGGAATAACACAACCGAGCGCTGAAGCACAGGCCGAGCTCATTCGGAGCACCTATGAGAAGGCCGGACTAGTATACTCAGATACGCAGTATTTCGAAGCTCACGGCACGGGTACCCCGCTAGGAGTAAGTTGAACAGGCGTTGTAAAACTCTTTGACACCACTAATTCCATCCCAGGACCCCATAGAACTGTCAGCAATCGGCGCAACGCTTGGCTCCGGGCGCTCGCCAGAGTCTGGCCCCCTGTACGTCGGCAGCATCAAAGCCAATGTGGGACACACGGAGGGCTGTTCAGGCCTTGCTGGAGTTCTAAAATCGATTCTATGCTTGGAAAAGGGCATACTCGTTCAGACAGCCGGGATCGAAAAGGTGAACCCCAACTTGAAGCTGTCTGAGTGGAAATTGGCTTTGCCAGTAGAAAATATAGCTTGGCCTTCTCAAGGACAGCGGCGCATCAGTGTCAACTCATTCGGATTTGGAGGCGCCAACGCCCACGTTATTCTCGATGATGCATACAATTACTTGAGAAACCGTGGGCTACAAGGAAATCACACTACAACCGTTTCTGAAGATGATTCTTCCGAGTCTGGCATCAGCATGGGTTCCGACTCACCTCGCCAAGAAAACGTCAAGCGACTCTTTACTCTTAGTACGCGAGACCAGGCTGCGATAGAACGCCTAGCTCAGTCTTACGGGGATTTCTTGTCGAACAAGGAAGCAACTTCGAGTCCGAGGTTTTTATCTGACTTTGCTTACACACTGTCAGAGCGACGAACTCATCTCGAATTTCGCAGTTTCGCCGTGGCAGAGTCCGCCATAGACCTGCAAAATCAACTCAACAAGGGTCTTGCGAAGCCTAAAAGAGCAACGAAACACGACAACCCGATCTTTGTCTTCACTGGACAAGGCGCACAGTGGCCGGCGATGGGCAAAGAGCTGCTCAATAACTGCATATTCCGGACGAGCATCCACACGTCACAAGCCCTTCTCGAGCATTACGGTTGCCCATGGGACTTGATCGAGGAATTGTCTCGGACCAGCGAATCGAATATTGATCTCCCAGAGTACAGCCAAGTGCTTTGCACTGTTCTCCAGATTGCTCTCGTTGATTTACTTCAAGAGTGGGAAGTGAGGCCAAGAGCAGTTGTTGGCCATTCTAGTGGTGAGATTGGTGAGTGAATTAGCTAGCCCGCTAAGCTGCAACTCCGGGAACCACTCACTGACACACCCACAAGGCGCTGCATATGCTGCCGGCCTTTTATCTCGCTGTAATGCGGTAAAGATTGCGTATTTACGAGGCATTTGTTCAGCAAAGGTGACCGATGCTGTCGCACCTCGACTAGGCGCCATGGCAGCTGCTGGGCTATCCGAAGAAGAGTCTGCAAAGTACATTGAACAGGTACCATCAGGTTCAGTTGTGGTAGCTTGCGTCAACAGCCCCTCAAGTGTGACTTTATCCGGCGATCAAAATGCCGTCACGAAGTTGTCCAGCGCCATTTCCGCCGATGGGAAGTTCGCAAGACTGCTTCGAGTCAAAACAGCCTACCATTCACCTCACATGGCAACAGTCGCCCAGGAGTACCATGATAACATTGGCAATATCATCCCCCTGGGCGAAGCCGAACAAATTTGCCCAATGTTTTCTTCGCTCACCGGCGGTACCGTCACCTCCAAGGATCTAGATGCGTCGTACTGGATGAAGAATATGTGCGAGCAGGTTCGATTCTCGCCAGCGATGACTGCCTTACTAGAATACACGCCCGAGACTGCACAGAGTCGGGGTCGCAATCGAATGCAATGGAGCGCATTCATCGAGATCGGCCCTCATGGGGCTTTGCAGAGTCCAGTGTTCGAAATTGTAAAGGCAAGCGAGAGCAAGACCGCAAGAGAGGCACCGTATCTCTCCGCCATTGTCCGCAACAAGGATGCAGAGATGACGGCGTTACATCTAGCCGGTCAGCTTTGGAGTTCGGGTCACAGCATAAACCTTTTGCGGGTGAATTGCATCTATCCAGAGTCTTTACCACTCTCATTGCCTGACCTGCCGTCTTATCCTTGGAACCATAGCAAGAGCTACTGGCATGAGTCCGCGATGGCTCAATCAGCCAGATTCCCAGGTGGTCCTCGCACCGATCTATTAGGGGTGCCGGTCGACCTGCAAAATCCCATGGAGCCCCGCTGGCGCAACTATCTCCGCATTTCTGAGAACCCGTGGATCGAAGACCACAAAATTACTGGGACCGTGCTTTACCCTGCGGCCGGCATGATTGTAATGGCCTTGGAAGCTGCATGGAAGTTACGGGACAACTCGAGGAAACTCAAGGGCATCGAATTTCAAGACCTCAAATTTGAGCGTGGTCTCGTCGTACCTTCAGGAGAACAAGGTGTCCAGACGGAAGTCAGCCTCAGACCAGACGACGCCCTTCCATCCACTTGGAAATTTGCTGTTTATTCTTTGACATCGAAAGGCTCGTGGACCAAGCACTGTCATGGAACGGTGGGCCTGGAGTACGAACACGCCGAGCAACATTCTGCAGCACCCTCGGAGGAGAGATGGAGAGTCTTGACCAGCTATTGGAACGACCTGAAATCCAAAGACTCCTACGAAATTGAAATGGAAGACTTCTACGATCAGCTTGAGTCCGTTGGAGTTGAGTACGGGCCGACTTTCAGGAATGTGTTCCAAGCGGGTGCAGCCACTGGCGAGCACTGCGCCCACGGATGTATCAGCATCCCAGATACCAAGTCTTCCATGCCTTTCGACTTTGAGTACCCCCATCTGATACACCCGGCAACCATGGATGCCATCTTCCATCTACTCTTCATTGCCTTCTCGGACGGCAAGCCCCTTCAAGACGCTGCGGTGCCTTACACGTTAAAGCACATGTACATTGCTGCAGATCTACCTCAGGGCGAGGGCGGTGTGTTCAGCGGTTACGCGAAGCGTCTTCGAAGCGACGGCCGTGAGACTTCCGGTGATTTGATTGTGTCTGATGAGACCTGGAGCAGTCCGAAGTTGATCATCCGCGACTTTGCGTTGAGAAAAGTGACGTCTTCACAAGATTCCTCGTCTTCGAGCGAAAAGATTGCGCGAAAGGTTTGCGCAAAACTGAGATGGAAGGAGGACATCGACTTCATTCGATCATCTGCATCTCTTCTTGACTCGGAGCAGGATCATTGCGGTGAAGTTGAGCTTGCTCGTGATAATAAGGTCTTGATGGCTCTAGCAAAATTGCTGGATATGTTGCATCATAAGAGGCCAGGCTACGGGATGCTTGTCGTCATGCAAGACGCTGTGGATGATTCTCGTGTTGTACTGGAAACTTTACTCAATATCTTTGAGAGAGCTACACGCAGAAAAGGGAGAAAACTTCATATCGTAACGACTTCAAAGGCGGCTGGAAGTCTTGCCGAAGAATTGTCTTCCACCAGAGAGGGATTATCAGAGATTCGAACTTGGAACCCGACGTCTCAGGAGGAACCTCCCTTCTCGAGCGAGTCTTTTGACCTCATTGTGAGCTTGAGGTCAACTCATCATGACGATGTCTCCTCTGTCCGGTCGATATTGCCCGCACTGCGAGATCTCCTACGACCGACGGGGTATCTCTGCTTGGCGGGTTTGAATCACTTGGACTCAACAATAAGTCTCGATGATGACTCGATGATACTCACAGCAGGAATGGAGCCGAAAGTTTTCCTGCCGGATATGACCAGCAAAATGACACTTGTTGTCACAAAGAAGCCAACTCTTTCGTCACTTGGCTCTTTGCCGTCTGAAGTTTTTCTGCTACATAGGCCCGATTTTACTCCAGCAACCGGGCGTCTTGTGGACACTTTGATTAAAAAATTCAAGTCACTCGGCGGAAAAGCTACATTGGCGTCAATGTCAGAGATGGATTGTTTGAAAGGAAAATACATCATTTCTCTACTGGAGGTCGATTCACCCCTTGTTTACGACTGGGACGCACGGAACTTTGAGGATTTTAAGCGTCTGGTTTCCAACGCCTTCCAAATCCTCTGGATCACGCGTGGCGGTCTCATGCAGCATTGGGAAGAGGGGTTAGAGTTCGCACCAACTCAAGGCCTTCTCAGAGTCATGCGTACAGAATATTCCCAAGTCAGGTTGCCACATCTTGATTTGTCTAGAGCCAGTAGCCTAAGCGCGAGTAACACTGCTAGTATCATCTTTGATGTCTGGTGTAACTTTGCACAACAGGGCTCTACTCGGCATGACATGGAATACGCGGAACTCGACGGTAGATTGTTTGTGCCGAGGTTTGGCGAATATGAAAGCATGGACGCAGATTTGCAAAGTCCAGAAAGAGTTCTCGGGTCGGAGAAGAGGACTTTTAACAGCAGAAAGAATTTGACGCTTATTCGAGAAGGCAGCGAGTCCATGTCTGTTTTGGTTAATGAATCCGAGTCTCCCACGCCTCTTCTTGACGGTGGTGTTGAGATTACTGTTGAGCTCGCGCTTGCGCAGGTTACACCAGGCTCTGAAGGTGCACCCGGCACTCTTGCTTGCTCTGCGATTGTTGGCACAGTAAGCGCAACATCATCTTTGGAGATGACAACGAAAGTTGGACAACGCGTCATCGCGATTCATTCAGGGCCATGCAGAACTAGAGTTAACGTTCCCGAAGCGTTAGTTCGATCGGTCTCTTCAAGTCTACTGCCCGAAGAACTTTTGACAACGTACTACTCATTTTTTACTACGGGTTTTGCGTTGACGCAGACCGCGAGACTCAAAAATGGCCAGACTATTCTCATCCATGGCAGCAACTCGCCGTTTGGCAGAGCAGCAATCCGACGAGCACAGGGAATTGGAGCAGAAGTTTTTGTTGCTGCAAAGACTTCCAACGCAACAGGTCTCGCTGCAACGGAGATGGGGGTTGACCAAGCTCATGTTCTCGATGACGACTATGATTCTTGCGTGGCCGAGATCCTTCGTCAGACTCAGAATCGGGGAGTGGATGTCATACTCAACTGCCACCCTGGACAAATAGACCTCAAATGGGTCGAATGTCTCTGCGATTTCGGGGCTTTCATCTCAATGGAGCCCAAAGCATCCGGGCTCCCTCTCAGCCTGGTTGCTTCGCGCCGCAACGCCACCTTCGTGAGCTTGGACGCGTCTTCCCTCTTTAAATCAAAGCCGGAGCTTGCCAAACGCCTCTTTGACGAGACTTGCGAACTTCTTGAGGCTGGAGACCTCATTCCACCGGACCCTCGATGCGTCAAATCGGTTTCTGATGTTGATGACATGCTGTCACGGGTTGACGGTGGCGAAGCACCTGGCGACATAATCCTGACGTTTGACACCCACGCCCAAGTTCTACTGCGTCATGCCAAATTACCTCAGCTGCAACTGGACAATCAAGGCACTTATATCCTCGCAGGAGGTCTTGGTGCACTAGGCCTCAAAATTGCGGATATGATGTTCAATCATGGTGCTGGACATGTTGTGTTTCTCTCTCGGTCAGGAGGAAAGAATAAGTCAGCCGACCTAGATTGCTTCCGTCAACGAGGCCTGGCCATTGATGCATTAAAGTGCGATGTGTCAATTTCATCTCAAGTTGACGAGGCAGTTCGACATCTTCAGGGGCAAGGGCGGCGCATTCGGGGCGTGATCCAGTGTGCAATGGTGCTTGAAGTAAGTCGTTGGAGGAGAGGTTCAATATTGACTCGAAAGCACTGCGCTGACAATAGCTTACCAGGACGCAATCTTTGAGAATATGACATACGATCAATGGCAAAGGTCAACTCGGCCCAAGATTGAGGGCACAATGAACCTTCATAAGTCCACTCCTCATGACGTGGACTTCTTCATCCTCTTATCCTCAATCACCTGCGTTATTGGAAACGCCGCGCAATCGAACTATGCCGCAGGAAACACGTTCGAAGATGCATTCGCTCATTTCCGTCGTAGCCAGGGCCTCGCCGCAACGGCAATCGATGTCGGACTTGTCACCGACTCGGCTCACTTCATGGGTGACTTTGATATGGACGCTTATTTCCAGATGTACGAGCATCGGTGGGATGGTTTACAGACGACCCAGTCAGAGCTTGACGCCGTTTTGAAAGCTGCCATGCGAGGTCGGACAGCAGACGGAAAACTCATCGAGCCGCAGATAGTTCTCGGCCTTGGTAGTTCAATGCCCGTCAGTCCTTCATCGGCAGAATGGACCAAGGACCCGAAGTTCAGTCACCGGGTCAGTCATACTTTGGTCAATGGCACAGATCTTCTCAGCAGACCGGAAACTCCCGCGGAACGGCTTGCTCAAGCGGAGAATACTCAGGATGCGGTCAATATTGTGGAAGAAGTCTTGCGTGGCTACGCAGCACAGATCATGGACGTCGCAATGACAGACATTGACGCGGAAAAAGCTTTCTATGACTTTGGAGGTATGCTATCACAGGCCTATCCAATTTAAGCCCTGCAGAGATTACCGATCATGCTGACATACCACCTAGTTGATTCACTGAAGGCCGTCGAGCTCCGCAACCGCATCTTTCGTGATGTGCAGAGCGATATATCAGTGTTCGAGTTATTGAGCCCCTCGCCTCTTTCCAAATTGGCGGTAGACATTGTGGGGAAAAGCAAGTTCACGACTAAAAAGTAGAGTGCTGAGTTCATGGAACAAAAGAGCGTAGCAATCGATATCCCCATTGACCCGATACCACATCAATGTGATCCGTAGAACAGCAATGATACATAACGACTACCATGAAAACAGCTTGATTCCTATGTTAATATGATTTCAACTGCCTTAACTTACTATCTTGAGCAAGTAACAGTTAGACTCTCTTGATTGCTCCCGACTAACCCGCTGTCATATACTGAAGTAGGCGTGAGAAAACGTCGACAATCCCAGCCGCTATGTTTCGTAAGCCCTCATCGCCAAGACAATAGCCAAAACCGCGCCTGGTGACAATAAGCCGCTTGTAAGAGTAAGGCCAGCCGCTCTTACGAAGAATGAGTCTTCTAGAATTCGAATCCACTTATACTGCTTTCGAAGTCTTCGGAATGAGCGCGACGATCTAAGGATAAGATCAGTCATCGGAACCAAAGCCGCCATGATAATGAATATATCCCATTGTAGAAAGTCTCGAGCACCATCAGCAATGACTGTAGGAGATGCGACGTTGATAGAGGCAGCGGGTACGAATGTCCGACGTAATTCCTCATGTTCTGAACATGCCAACGCCCACACGTGCCCAGTCGCGGCGGTAGCCCCCGAAATAAGCAAAGATGCTGCGACAAAGTTTTTCGATGCGTGTTGTTTAGACTTCAAATCGGAAAATCCTGGGATTTTACCTTGGAGCCAGACAAACAAAGAATGGGCCATTGTGAGTGCGAGTGGAGTGAAGCGATACAAAGCTATCAGGCCTTGTCTTTGGTTTATTGAAAAGGTCGTAGTGAATGCCGGAAACAGAAGCATTCCGGGTGTAATTGCTCCCAAAATTGCGGCTGGGACCAGAGCGAACGCTTCTTCTGGGTTTGAAGGACCAATCTCGTGGTTTTTCGGTTGGTCCTCCTCCTCCTCCAAGAACCTTTGGACATGGGCGAAGCAGTAAAGGGGATAAACAGCCGCGGCACCCCACGCTTGGTTGAAGACTCCCCAAAATAAGTGCTCACTTGCACACAGAAAGATTAACATGAATGCATGCGACTGGGCACGATCGTCTCTTGGGACTTACATGTTCGTCCAAGGTCGTCTCTTGCCCCCGCTCCAACCCAAGACAAGCATACAATGCGACATCGTCTGCATAGTGGTAAAGAGGCTGACCAGCAGCATACGGTCTGAACGCAACCCATTGCTGAGAATGTTGTTGTAGAAGATGACTGCTGGAACAAGCAGCTTGTCGAATATCTGGAGACCGGTGAAATTGGTTCGGAGCATGTCGCCATTGGGGAATATTCCCGTCTGCTTCACCATCCCGACCTCTCTCGCCACACCCGAGCGAATCATTCTCCCCCACAAAGAGTCATACCCCACCAAGCTCAATCCAAGAAAATAAGTGTGCATCTTCAAGTTCACTTTCACAAGATTGGTGCGCTGACTTCGCGTAAGGTGAGCTACGATGGAGGGTATCCGGGTCTTTGTAGCACGGGTCATCGGTTGTGCCAAATTCGGGCGAGTCATTTATAATCCGTCAGTGGTGGAAGATGTTTCAATATTCAACCTTACTACTAGTACTAGTCTTCCCCTCAGATACCCGCTCGATTGACTTTGCAGCCATAATATGAGGGATACTCCCAGACTTCCTTGTAGTACTCCAATGTTTCCGTGAATCTCGTGTATATGTAGAGACAACCACTAACCCATATCACTGTCGAAAGTGCCATTCCCAAATAAAACCAAGTCCACGCTGAAAGTCCAGGTCCTCCATGCAAGATATCAATTTCTCCATACGAAGCGTCCCTGGTTTTCAGTATCCAGTGACCTGATTTTCCAATCACAAACGACGCACCAATCGCTGCCGTCATTGCGAAGACCAAAATAGGCTTCGAGTTTGGAGGCTTCTCAACCTGAACTCGTTGGGCATCCCAGACTGCGCCCAGGTCATTACCATCTTCCTGCAAGGTAGACTTGTTATCAATGATAAATGCCTTTCCACTCCGCTTCTGTGGACTTACATGGTCGACAAGCACCCCAATCTGGAACTCTTCCAACGTCTTATATGCATCCTCTGAATGGCCGACATATTCGAAGCTTTCAGTGCCGTCGGACCCCGCAACGTCTTTCAAGACTTCGATACCCCCAGGATGATCATCGGCATAGTTGGTAACATCGTACACTGAATAATCCAATACCAGTCTCAGTCTTAGTGGATGTCCAATATCTTGCTTACCTTTGCCCCGGATTGATACCCATAGGCTATCGACATCGTGATGTTTAGACAAATCTGACCGACCGAGTACCTGCATCATGGACTATAGTGTTGACGGTTTCCTTGATTGATTTCGGTCAAGTTCGCTCGATACTAGTCTCGCATCTGGCTCATTTGCTAGAAAACTCTCGACTTTGCTCGCTTGGCTGCTTCCCAGCGATAATTGTCCTCGGCTGTCGCCAAAAATGGTGAAAATTGCCCAAATCGGGAACGGGGCGTCCCAAGCGGGGATACGTCCGGGGAATTTTCAACGCGGATAGGTCCAAAGTGGTCTCCGGCATCTCGTTCTGGATCAGTCTCATTGGAGATTTGCAGGGATATCCCTGTGGAGAGGAGGTGCTGGGGCACGACAATGGGAATCGAGTTCTCGACATCTTTTGTAGTCTGTGTATTGACAGGCGTCGAGCCCATAGTGATCTGGAATATCGCAGAAGAATACGCCGTCTCTCAAATCATCTTACCATTGTTGATCTCGTTGCTTTACAGGGAGCCACGTCTGCTGAACTTGCCATCCCCAACCTCGCATGTAGAACTACACTAAAGCTTTCCGCAATGTTCCAGCAGCAATTCACCATTGGCCATGGCTCATATGAGCGATGTCAGACCTTGAATCTGCCGAGTGTCAAAAGCATGCAAGAACTCAGATCCGGGATTGCGCGCATTTTTTCAGTCTCTGATTCCGATTGTGAGTCTTCAATCCGATATCGAATGCAACACACGACGCCAAGATAGCGACTAACTGTTGTGAAGCTATTTGTTTTTATAATCGAAAAGAGATTCTCACTTCTCTTGATGAAGTTAAGAGGAGTGATGGTCCAGTGCAGGTCAGAGTGAATGACGAAGTCGTCAGAGAGCCGTTGGGACCAGAGCCATTACCATACGTTGGCAACCGCTACGAACTCTATCCGGATCCACTTGGGAACTATGATCGCCTCTTTGACCGGTATGGACCTGTTATCAAAACGATCAATATGGGCACGGTAACATACCTCACCAATGATCCCAATGTCTCTCGCGAAGTTCTCCGCGAAGGGGAATACTTCACCAAAACTACATCAGATCCGGGCCATCCTCTGTACTACATGCGAAATAACGAGGCGCTCTTTACTTGCGACAGCGATGCTCCAGCATTCAAATTAGCGCACAAGTACATACCGCCCAGCTTAACGCCGAAGGCAGTCCGCCACTACACACCAACTGTTTTAGCTTGCGTCGAGAGGTCATTCAATGTTTTTGATGAGCTCGATGAAAAGGAGCTCGCATTCAATGTTTATCATTACACATTCAAGATGGCTGGAGAGATCATCTGGAAGGTCATTCTTGGCATGGACTTAGGTCACTTTGACTCGATTGACACAAAGCCCCATGAAACTATTCGGCTTCTGGGCGAGTATCTTTCGCTCATGAAGAAAACCTCTTTGCGCGGAAGTTGGTATGGATACCTGCCATTCGGGACGCCAAAGAGACTCAAGCTAGTGAGACAACTCTTGTGGGAGGGCGTTGCCAAAGGCATTGAGGATTCAGTCACGTCCAGCGCAGACCTGCCGATGAAAGACGCTGCACTACACGCTACCAGCGTCGCTGACTACCTTCGTCGGGCCACCGACGAGAAGGGAAAAAAGTTGCCCAAAGAGATCATGCTGAGTAACTGCGTCATCATGATTGGAGCTGGCTTTGTAACAACCTCTTCCCTCCTGGCCTGGCTTATCTACGCTTTGGTCAAATATCCCGGAAATCAGCAGCGTCTGCTCGAAGAACTTGTCAACTACGGAGCTTCTCCTAGCAAAGAGTGGAGCTATGATGAGCTGACCGAAATGCCGTTCCTCGACAAATTTGTGAAGGAGACACAGCGGATGCACAATCCGTCGTTCCAAACAGCGAGAAACGCAAAGCAAGATGTCGTACTTCCAGGCGGGTACTTCCTACCCAAGGGCTCCGTCATCATTCCAACTTTTCCTTCATTACACAAGAATCCAGTGCACTGGGATAATCCAACGCGTTTTGATCCGGATCGATGGGACACTAAGGAGGTGAAGGGCCGGCACAAGATGTCTTACACTCCATTCGCGGCAGGGAGCAGGGGGTGTGTGGGGTACAACCTCGCTCTTCTTGAGGTGAAGAGTGTCATGGCAAAGTTGGTTTACCGCTATCACTTTGAAGATGCGTCTACTGAAGCCGTGGTGTACGATCCTGAGTTCATTGTCATTAGGCCATTGAACTTTTATGCTAGGGCAGTGCGGAGAACACAGTGGCCCGCGAGTCAGGGGGCATGAAGTTGAGTAGGTCTGGTTTCGTTCCCTTTGCTTCCATTCTGACCAACACTACGTTTCAAGCTTGTACTACTTTACAAATCTGTCATGATTGGAATTTCTCTTAGGATCTATGACATAATTATGACAGATGACCTGTAATACGATAAGTACTCTTTTTGATAGAAGATTGCCCCCTTCACGATTAGGTGCTTAGCTCCAAAGCAGTATGTTTGAAGAGAGAGTATGTCCAAGGTTCTCAGCTAGTAGCTGGAATTGACTTCAAGCTCGGCTTCCCCATTTGGCTGTTCCGGGACGAACTTGGTCAACCCCGAATACCTCAAAACCTCCATGATTATTGATGAGATGACGTTACATGGACTCAGCCATAGGTAAGCCATGTACAATGTTGCACGATAAGCCCGTAGTGGTGCCATTGAGACAAATTTGTGGTTCATGAGGGAACAGAAACCATCATTTCATGAGACATTCTAGAACAACCCAACTATCATGGCTACCAATACATACACTGCGACAGTAATTCATGCCAAGACAGGTGCAGCGAAGGAAAACTTGAATGAGATCACTACTCAACTCAGCGTATTCGATCTCATCCCACCAAGAGTGTATATCAAGTTCACCGTCTATCTACCTCTAAAACCACAAATCAGCTTCCAACAGGCATTTTCTCACCTCCAGGCTGGTCTTCACTCAACCTTGCGGCAATTTCCTTTCCTCGACGGTCGTATTCACCCACGCAAGGAGCATGAGACCGGCTGGAGACCAGGGCACATAGTAGTGTCTTACGACCCAGACGGCCCAGTCGCCACAGAAGAAGCTCCCCGGCAGCTCGCTTTTAAGGACCTGTCACAGGTGCTGCCCGACTATGAAGATCTTCGCGACGCAGGGTTTGAATTCTCTGCTTTCGATGATGAGCTCGTTCTAGCTGCCCCGTTCGTGCCAGATTTGACAGCCGGTGCCGACGTCTTCTTGGCGCAAGCGAACTTCGTTAATGGAGGATGCATTCTGGCGACGGGATTCCACCATTCCGCTAGCGACGCGACCGGTATGGTCACGGCGATGCGTGCGTGGGCGGAACACTGCAGAAACCTCGCGAATCCGGATAGCAATGTGTGCAGCTGGCTGGCTCCGGAGAGCTTCAATCGCACACTTCTAGAGCGGCTGTGGAGTAAGACGCCTGCCAAGCCTGTTGCCAAGATCCCGCGCGATACTTGGGGCTTTCTCGGCTTCCAGCCGCCAGATGCCCAGGAGGAAACGGCGACTGCTGCGGCCCCACCTGCGGCCCCGCTCCGGACCATGGAGTCTAGCATTTTCTACATCTCTCCGGACAACTTCAACAAGTTGAAGCAGGATGTTTTAGATGGCTCTCATGACGGAACGGGACTGTCGGCCAATGACGCACTCTTGGCGCTTTTCTGGCGCGCCCTCATGAAAGCGCGATACAAAGCGGCCATCGCATCCGGCCAGCCAGCGCCGGCGGACGAAATGTCATACTTGGAATCTCCCGTCGACGGCCGCACGGATTTCGACCCAGAGCTTCCGTCGTCGTATGCTGGGAATCTCGTTATTGTCAACAAAGTTCCGATGCGGGTGGCCGAGCTCGCGTTGCCGACTACAAGCTTGCGCGATGTCGCTCTGCAAATTCGGGCACAGGCGGCCAAGGTGAATCCAGGTCTCGTGAAGGACGCGTTCACCCTCATGCGCGAAGTCCCGGATTACACGAAGCTGAAGCATGCATTCACCCGACTTGATGGGTTCGATGTCATGATCACGTCAGTGTTGCTGCTACCGTTGGATAAGATCAACTTTGGCGACTATGTGTTTGGCAATGATGGCAAGCCGGAGTCGCTGCGACCCTTGATGGATGCCTTCAATGCGAATTTTAGGCTTTGCATGGTGTTGCCGATGAAGAGCCATGGGGGTATCGAGTTACTTGTTAGCTTATTCGCTGACGAGATGGAGCAACTGATGGCAGACAAGGAGTTTGCAAAGTATGCTGCATTTTGCTGTCATTAGCCACAGTCATTCCCTTAGTAAAATAAAATCATTGCCTCAACCAAGTCGGCTATTTACAGTAACAATTGTGTCTGTTGTCTGTTATAAGTCCTCGCCGTTGTCGCCTCCCCTTGATGACGGTATGCAGCGCTTCGTGTCGGGTGTACAGCATTGACCACTGCAGACATCCCGGTACCTGAGCCTATTCAGTAGCGTGACGAAGCGTGAGAGCTCGAGTCCCTGTCAAGCAGCACGTGTCTGGATGAGACTAAGCTCGGCAACACCTTATTCGGAGTCGATACAGAAAAGATGTCACCGTCCGTGTGGTTCATTGCTTCAGACTCAGAGGGGGCCGAGGAACAAACTTAGCAAGCCTTATTATGAGGGGCGATAAGTCGTAGTCTCCCGGCAGCTCTCAGTCCGGCCTCGAGCTAGACACCAATGGTCGTCTTACTGCAGAATCGGTCGCGTGTTACCACCCACTAGTCTGGGTGTGTTAGTCGAGTCTAAGCTCTAGATCCCTTGTCTCAACAACAGACCGCTCATTCGATCCCCACGAGCGCGACGTGTGAAATATGGTGCCCAGACGTGCGCGACAACTCACTGATGTGCATCAGCACCTGATCACGGGGTGCATTGGTAGCGCGGCCGTTGCTCCTGCAAAAGAATAGAAAATGTTCCATGCGACCATTTCTACTCAACGCTCCCGGGGGCCGAAGCGCCCGCTCGTAGCCCAATCCAGTATGAGGCATTTGATGTCTGTTCCTAATCGAGCTTGGGAGGTTTGGGGCTGTGTGGCGCGAAGGCCTGCGTCAAAAACTTTGGATGAGTTCTACGTCGCATGCGAGAGCGGCTATGACGGCAACAAATTAATTGCTGTCCCTAATTTTCTCAAAGAATCGCAAAATCCTCGAGACTTGCGGCTTTTGAGTATGCATGATTACAGCTTCCGGGTTTCTCAGGTAGATAAGGAAGTTCGTCCGGCAGTGAAAGCTGGACATTAATACCGCAGAGGAGAAAGAGGCCGCCCCATGGGGAAAGTTTTGTTATGACTCCGCCTGTGTGAGGCGGTGCCCATGATGTCGCTCAGAACCTGTCACCTCGGCTGGGCGCCGGGCATTCTCTTAGTTTCTCTACCTAAAGTAGCCGAGTAGTCTCAGAAACCTTCATAATGCCCGTCCTTGTCCTCATCCCATTCTCAAACACGAATCGTCATTGAATCGGTGTTTTCGGTGGCTCTTCCATTCTCCGACTCCCAAGAACGACCAACATCGTCACAGCACAGCACTCATCACGGACTTTTCCTCAAACTATTGGAATGGTCACCGCTTTCGCCAGATCTCACGACCTAAAGTCAGTTCGATCACATCATTACACTGATCCAAACATCTGCCAGGATATGGCAAAACGTACGAAGGAGGGATACCTACGAGCACACCACTCGAACGTACGGTGAAGGAACATATTGGACAAGATTCAGACCCTCGGCTCGGCACCATTACCTCTTTGGCCTTCAATCACATCCAAGAAGAGAGAACATAACGTCATGTCGCAGAAGGAAGATAACAAGTCCATCCGGGGACTCGAAGATGCAACCCTGTTGAGTCCCAACGGAGGCTCTCGACATGTGGAAAGCATCTCGAGTCCTCGAGGGAGAGAACCCGAACGAGGGACGGCCCGTGACGTAGCAAACATGGCCATGTTCGAATCCCCGACTATGCGGCCTCTGAGCAGACGTCCTACCATCGAGTCGAGGCGCACGACGTCGCCGCCCAATTCCGTCAAGGCATTTGCCAATGCGCGCCGCAGAGGACAGGACGTCGAAGCGCACGATCCGAGGGCCTCTTCGCGCAGACCTCAGGCCGAGGTTGAGAGTAGCGACGACTGTGGCCTCCAAGCATCTCAACACTATCCGAAGAGTATCAGTCGTAGCTTCCACAGTCGCAAGGCTCTCGAACACGGTGGCTCTTCGCCCGTGCCGAAACCCAACTCATCTCCCGAGGCCGAGGACACCAAGCTCGACAACGTCCAAAAAGAAGGGCTCCACATCGACTTTGACTATTTGGAGACACTGATTGACGCTGAGAGTCGCGACCAGTTTGGCAGTTCCGACTTTGTCAATCTTCCGGATAGTTCCATCCCTACCGCTACGCGCATGTTTACCTCCGATGGAGACTTCATCGATGTTGCATCCCAAGCAGCTTTCATCGCGGGAGAGAAGGAGGCGACAGCACCCCAGCAACCGCTCCCGAGGGCAAGCCAACACATTGAGCAAAGCCGCTTCAACTACTTCTCCTCGGCCTTGGAATCCACGATCCATGCAGCGGAATTCGGCGACCTCGTCCTCCCAGGCGAGAGCATCAGGTCTCTGTTCGAGATGCCCGAGGCGGAGGCCGATGGTGTCTGGTGGCTTAACATGAACAACCCGACTGGCAGCGAGGTCTGGACGATTTGCAAAGCGTTTGGGATCCACCCACTTACCATCGAGGATATCATACACCAAGAGAGTCGCGAAAAGATAGAACTCTTTCCGCTGTACTACTTCGCCTGCTTCAGGTCGTTCATCGTCGTCGAGGAAGATAATGAGAAAGACTACCATCCGTTCAACGTTTACGCGGTAGTCTTTAGAGAGGGGATACTGAGCTTCAGCTTCACTGCAAACTCGCATGCATCGAGGGTTCGATTCCGGATTTCGCAATTGAAGGAGCAAGTTTCTCTCAGCAGCGACTGGATCTGCTACGCGTTGATGTAAGTCAAAGCCGCCTCAGATGTCCCTCCAGGAGGTTGCTTCATGTAATAAACCTCATCTAACACTAGCGCAGTGACGACATTGTGGACTCTTTTGGACCAGCGATCAACGAGATCGAACGCGAGGCCGATGCGATCGAAGACCAGGTGTTCATCACTCGAGTAGATGATAACCAAGCCTTTCTTCGGAGGATCGGATACACCAGAAAGAACGTGATGAGTCTCATGCGCCTGCTCGGCGGGAAGGCAGACGTGCTTCGTGCTTTCACCAAGAGATGCACTGAGGATTTCGATGTCACGCCACATATGGACATTGCCCTTTACCTTGGCGACATCCAAGATCACGCGGTAACGATGATGCACAGCCTTGTCCACTTCGACACCATGCTCTCACGATCACACAGCAACTACCTGGCGCAGCTCTCGATTGACAACATCGATATGGGTAACCGGACGAACGACTTTTTGAGTCGAGTGACGGTCATCGCCACTGTTATTGTTCCTCTCAATGTTGTGTGTGGTCTTTTCGGCATGAACGTCAAGGTCCCTTGGAAGGATACTGACAACCTTAACGCGTTCTTTGGAATCCTGGGCAGCATAACTGCTTTCGCTCTGCTGTCTCTTCTTGTTGCTCGACGTTTTAAATACCTCTGAGAATGACGTCGAGTACTTACATCTATTTCATTTCTTATGATACGTATACACCATAACGTTGCGACAACAAATTGGTTGGTTTCACGAAACACACGTGCAAGCAGTCTGCTTACTCCCATCAAGCCTCTTTGTGGTCTAGGTAATTACTCATGTGAAGTCAACGAAATTACTTTTCTGCCACCGGCCTGGAATTTTGTGGTAAAGCGAGACGAATAGGAAGGTATTTGTAACATGTTCGTTGTCAGCATGTCTCGAAGAAAGAGTGTTGGTTGGCACCCGCCGTCTTTTGCGTGCCGCTATTCCCTCATTCACATTCGACGGTCTTACCTTCTTGCTCATGTTCAACTCCCGTGCAACTCACCTCGGCGGCAAAAGCAACTACGATGCTTAATCGTGCCTCCCTCATCGCGCGTGGTTTCCCATACCAAGACGCTTTGCAACTTCTTCATCCGGGAAGGCGCTGTGCCAAGCCTTGAGATCTTCCGCCTTGGCAGCTGTCGATGTCATACCAGTCCAATACGTCCTTCCTCAGTCAGACTATCACCTCCCTTTTTGATATTGCCATGACATTGTTTTGCGAGGCATATTCCAGTCTGCTAGAAGAGGGGAAGCTGCAAGTGTTTAAGCGACCTTCACGAGCCGCTCATGGTTCTTGCTTCTCGAACTTATAAATGAGGCTCTCAACTTCGCACGCTTCGCCAAGTTTCGATTCGTCCACGCCAAGCCTCTCACTGCCTCATCACTATTTGTACATTATTTCACCATGAAGGCGTCGCTCATTTCAGCTGTTGCCCTGGTTCCTGTGGCTCTGGGCGCGACTGTTCCCAGATCTGCGAAGGTCGACTATACTGGCTTCAAGGGTCTCCGCATCACTCTCCCCGAGGGCTCCGAGGACTTGGCCGACCAGATTGACGAGTTAGCTGCGACGATATTGAACCCCGGCGCCAAGGGACAGCTCGATGTCGTTGTATCTCCCGACAATATCGACGCCATCAGCCAGCTGGCTGTGAACACCACGATTCTCCTCGAGGATGTCGGTGCTGCTTTTGCGGATGAAGATATGGCAACGGTTTATGCTGGTAAGTCTATGAATCATGACCACGAACTGATCTCACCTCATACTCATCGATCCATCAGTCCCCAGCGAAACCTGGTTCACTGCTTATCACAGCTATGCCGACCACTTGACTTTCCTGAGAGACCTTCAGAGCAGCTTTCCCGGCCAATCTGAAATCACTACCACGGGCTCATCTTTCCAAGGTCGAGCGCTCACCGGCATTCATATCTGGGGAAGCGGCGGCAAAGGGTCCAAGCCGGCTGTTGTTCTCCACGGCACCGTTCACGCTCGCGAGTGGATCAGCACGATGGTGAGTAATAACCACAATATCTGCAAGTATCCACTGCAATCTGAGTAATTCTAATCAACACATCATGTCAGACTACAGAGTATGTGGCTTGGCAACTTTTGACCAAGTACGCAACAGACTCCGCCATCAAGGCCGTGGTTGATAAGTTTGACTGGTACATCACTCCTGTGGTGAACCCAGATGGTAAGCGCCCCTGCAGAACCTTGTCTCTAAACGAAGAACAAAATCATTCTTACTATTCTTCCAGGCTTTGTTTACACTCAGTCCACTGACCGTCTTTGGCGCAAAAATCGCCAGACCAACACCGGCAGTTCCTGCGTCGGCCGCGACCCCAACCGTAACTGGCCGTACAAGTGGGAGCTAACCGGAGGTGCTTCGACAAGCCCCTGCGCCGAGACTTACAAGGGGGCTGCCGCCGCCGATACCCCAGAAATCAAGGGTCTCAAGGCGCAGATCGACACTTTGTCTGCTAGCAGGGGTATCACCCTCTACCTCGATGTCCACTCCTACGGACAGTACATCCTTTGGCGTAAGTCCATCGTCCCGATTGATCATGTGAGAGCGCAGCTCTAACTCAAATGGCTATACATAGCTTATGGATATGATTGCAACTATGTCGCTCCCGATGACGCTGCGCTGCAAAGCATGGCTCAGCGCGGTGCGACCGCTATCCGTGGCGTTTCCGGCACCAGCTACACTATTGGCAATGCCTGCCGTGCTCTGTACGCGACCACAGGCGATAGCACCGACTACGTTCACGGCGTTGCCAAGTCCAAGTACACATACACCATTGAGCTTAGAGACAGAGGAACCTACGGCTTTTCACTTCCGGCAAGTCAGATCTCGGCTACTGTAAAGGAGACCTGGGCTGGAGTTCTTGCCATGGCCCAAGCTGCATGATGAAGGAACCACCTCGATCGCAAGCCCACAAACATAATATGTGAAGGAGTGTGGCCTCGCTTCTTTCAGACTAAGGAAGATTGAGATAATTGTATAGCTTTGAAAGTATTCGTTATTTCAGCTCTGAGACTAATCAAGGTTGATATGATCGGTGACCTCTGCCCAAGATTCATCCATGTCTAGATCTGCGTTTGCACGCGGGCGTTCGTCACTTGTCGAGGGGTAAAACGTTCAAGTAAGAAGTTCCATCGTGGATGATACCAGTCGAATGTTTGCCACGTCACATTTGGTTTTGCGTTTCCCAGTTTTCATGTAAACGAGGCACGAATCTTCCAACTGAAAGTAAATCAGGAACATGAAGGCTGCCAATTCAACTTGATCAAATCTCCTTCGTCAGGTTTCAGAAAATATCTCCTTGATCCGCTGTTGTTATTTAGGTTCTCAACGTATATCAAATGCGTCTATCGGATGATGGTATTTGTATTCCATAACTTTCTAGCCCGTTTTCAGACGACCAAATATGCTACAAGTACTAAGTACTTATGAAGGGTACAACAGGAAATTCTATGAGTTACTCATTTCCCGGTTGTCACAACTAAGATAGAGGTATCTGCTGGCCTACTAGCAACTTTCTGTCGTCTTGATAGTGCTGTTGACTGGAAACAATAGAAAGCTGTCATACTTCCCGCCCACATGGATGAAGTGCATGCCCTTATTACGGCTCACAGGCGTCTCAACCCTTTGCTCATTCACGAAAGCCGGATTGGAGTCCATCGCGCCTCCCAACTCAATCAACGAAGCATTCTGTCCGGGTTCAAAGGTGCCTCCGGTAGAAGGCACAGGCACGATTGCCGTGCCAAACCCGATATCGGCCTGCGTGGGGGTGATGGAGGCCGGGGCAATGTTCAAGCTGAGCAGCTCACCGGCATGGAACCTGAGGGCGACGGGCCAGAGAGGGATGTCCACTGGCACAATCTCGCCTGGCGACAGCAGCTTCTCCGAGGTGTGCAGTAAGAAGGGTTCGAGGTCCGTGGAGCGATTGGTGTCCAGTTCACGGTGCGAAAGGCGGAGGGCTCCAGTTGGACCGATAGTGCTGGAACTCTCGCTACCAGTGCTAGGAAATGCGGTCCCGTTGGAGGAAAGCTTCTGCACGGAGATGGAGATATCCATGTCGGTAGAATCAGGGGAGGACACCCAGAGACGGAGCTTTGAGTACCCAATCAATTCCATGTTCTCGGGAATCCGATAGTTGAGCGTAACACCGGAAGCTAAGCTACTGTTGTAGCTGAGGGTGGCCCCGTTGGATAGAGAGGCCTCGCCAAGGGAGTTGTTGGGCTGCAGGTAAAGAGTCTTTGACTGGAGACCCGGGACTGGCCAATCTGCGACGACGCGATCCAGAGTATCCTCGGATCCGGGATCAAGAACAGCGAGGCGGACGCGGGGAGTAGATTGCCATCCATTGTCTTCGCCCTTGAGATAGAAGTCAAAGAACTTCTGCAGATCGGCCACATGTTCTGAGGTGTAATAATCGGTCCATTCTTGCGTGTTGTGCACTCTGAGCCACTTCTCGTCCGAAGCAATGCGCCGGAATGCTTCAAACGAACCATGGGTGTGCAGAAGGTTGGTGTAGCTTGCCACGATGTACGCCGGAACCTTGATTTTCTCAAGAGATGCAATCTTGTCTTCCCAGTACGGTGTAATGAGCCCCTCGGAGAGTAGTATGCGGGGAACATCTTCAACGAATTCCTTTCCGGCAAAGGTAGTGAGAATCGACTCCTGGAACCCGGGTGCCGGAATTCCACCTTTCACGGCAGTATCGCGGTACAGATCCGTGAGGCCCTCCCACGGCGCGATTGCCGTCAAGTGAGGAGGATGCTCGGCAGCAATGAACCATTGCGACACGGCCAGCCATGAGTTTCCCGAGAAGGCGACCTTGCCCGAGCTCCACGCCTGCTCTGCAGCCCACTCGACAAAATCATAGCCGTCCTCACCAAGCTGGCGACCCCAGTATGTGATGTTGCCTTCGGAAGAGTAGGCACCGCGGTTGTCTGGGTTGAGAATCGAGTAACCCTTGCACACCCAGTAGGCTGGATCCGGACCCTCAAACTTCTGCAACTCAGAGACTGAGGACAGCTTCACGCCTGATCGACCTTCAACGTCATCGAGCCACTGGCCGCCGATTTCTTTGCCGTAGGGACTCCATGCGATGATGCTTGGGACGGTAGCATTCCCGGTCGTGGGACGGAAGATATCAGTGTAGACCGTAATGCCGTCGCGGAGGGTGACGGGAACATCCCGCTCGAATAGGATATCGCACGGCAGAGTGAGTGCGCCGTCTCGGCGGATGGTGCCGGCTTTGAGCGTCAGATTCTCCTGCTTGAACCCAGGGTAGCGAGCGCGGGCGGCATCGAGGGGGAGAGGTCGTCGCTGAATGATGGGGTAAGAGTCATTGCCGTAGATTCGGAGGGATCCTTGGACGATTTCGGCGCCAGTCGTGGTGTTTTGAGCGAAAGATGATGCTGGATACACGGTGCCTAGGAGGACGACGGCGGTGAGCCACGACGAAGGCGAAGAACGAGCGTTTGGAAGTCTCATTATGGACAAATTAATGGGCAGCTGTTCCCAAGAGCAAAGAGCAGAAGTTATGGTATCAATTTGTTGAAGAAATAATACGAGTTTGAGCGTAGCTTCGGTTTATAACTTTTCTTCTCGAGCTCTTCCGGAGATCTTCGACCGAGCCCATCGGTGTTCAAGTCTGCACCGCAATGACATCACGAGAGAAAGATGAGCATCAGCTCCGGAAATCTTCGACATACAGCATCAAGTAAGCTAGGAGACTCCAACTGAGCCGTACGAGAGGTCCAATGGGGCGCTCATGACCAGAACCCAGCCTTAGAGTACCGTCTCTTGAAATTAATCGAGTCCATTGCCTCAAATTCGGGTCCCGCCTTTGAATATCGGGAGTCTCGGTGCATCCGTGAGCTCGTGGGGCGCTTCCGACGAAGATGTTGTAACTTCCGAATACTGAAGATGCTGTCCGAAGTCGTTTTCCTCCCTGAGATCGTTCGAAGCCGTAGTCGGCGTGAGGGGCAAAGCGTCAGCCAGGTCCACATAGAGATGAATCCAAAATGTCTGATTGGCTCTATCGTACGGTCCCTGTCGACATGGGCATTTAGCTTGCTCCTAGTCAGGGAGAATCCTTGCAACGCACGTTTTTGGACTTGTACCGTCGGTCGATTGGTCATTGGCTGCATGTCAATGCCTCAAGTTCTTTTGAGAAATCTGCCGAGAGATTGATGGGATTCTCCTCTAGCAATCAAGGCAAGTCTTGATCCCCTTCGAACTGCGACCCTCCCTCAAGCTCCTCTTCAACCAATGCCCGCTCGTCTTTCGGGCCAGCAGCTCGAGAATACGTCAGTTTCGCCCTCCCCTTTCCTCCCGGAAACTTGACCAATACTCCAGCGACCCGAGCTGCCTCAGGAATATCACGGCACTCGGTAACGTCGCCTAAGCCATCTTCTTCAATGTCCACGATGTGCCTCAGGACCCGCGCGGCTAGCTTCCCTTCTAGCAGGCCGTCCCGACGACGGGCGCCGCGTAGTATGTGTATTGCGGCTCTTCTTGTTCTTGGGTGTCGACATCGCAGAGCAAGTCTGCATAGGGGCATGATGAAGCCGCCGCCTAGGACAAAGGATGTATGTAGCCAATGGGATGCGCTGGTGTTTGAAACAGCCACTGCTGACGCCGCATATGTGAGTATCTCGATGAATTCTGGAAGAAAGTAATCCCAATCAGACTGATGACCAGTATCATCTGGGCCATGAAGAGTTAAGAAGACGTCTAGTCGCCTAATGTGTAGGAGTGCGAGGGAATTCCCATCGTCCGTGGAGATGGAGCTGGCGTTGAAGGCCTTTAGCCATTCCTGATACAAGCTCTGGCAGGAAGTCCGAGACTGCACGCTTTGGACATCCCGTGGGGCCCCTTGTTGCTCCACTGCGAAAAGGCAGAGGTTTTCCAAAGTTTCGAGATGTCTGTTGGCTTCTCTGAGATTGCTGAATACCGATGGACATGGCCTCACATGTCTGAAAGGGGGCGGCTTGGGTTGTGTGTGATCCTCAGTTTGGAGAAGCTGCGCGATTGTCAGAGACTTTCCTGCTGAATCGGACACTACTGATTCCGGGTTACGAACCTCCTTTGTGTAAGAGTCCAGCCGTACAAATACGGATACAAACGGCGCGAGGCTTTGGGAGTTTGCAGGGAATGAGCCGGGAACTTCAAGCTGCGTCAAGATGCTTGTCCCTAACGAGGTCAACTTCATGGCGTTATGGGCATTGCCACACAGTGTCTGCAGAAATGTCAGAATTATTTTATCACACATAGTTCATCAACACATGTGCAATTGCGACAGATCCCTCACCTCAATACACGAAAATACCACAGCAGACGCAAGTGAGATGATACTTGCTGAATCCTTCCTAATAAGAGGGACAAAAAGCTGCTGCAGCGCTGTCTGGTAATGCCGGAGGGCCATCGCCGTCCGTTCGGTCGGCGGGGCTGTTCGAGGCACTGGCCATGAGATGGGCCAGTTGTGCATGTCCTCTAGTAGAAGCCCCAAAGCAACGGTCGTGTGGAAGATGGCGTTGTCGGCGTTGGCAAGCTGCAAAACGAGCTTCCCCCAAAACTCGCATTCGAAGCCGCTCGAAAGAGTTGGGGCGCCAATAATTTGGAAGAACTGGTATGCTCTCCCCTCTTGTTCGTTGAGCGCCAGTGGGTTGAGGGCGCTGGGATTTCGCCTGATGGGGACTTCGAGGTGTTTTGGGACCACCACATTATGTGCGTCGCTAGGGAACGAACGGTGACATTTGAACCCAGCATTGAGACCTGCTATGTTTAGGCCGGGATACTTGGAAGATGTAGATAGCCTTCGGATCACTCACAGTTTGTGCAGCTGGGCAGCTTTTCATCGCATTTGACCTTTCGCTCTAGAACACAGAGGTTAGACCTTCAAGCACCGAAATCATAGGTCATGCTCATCGACTAACTCCTGCAAGCATGTGAGCGCTGAGTGTAACGGAGGGGGCGGAAAGAATAACGGACTTGCACACAGCGCACCCATTCCTGGATTTAGGGGCCCAAGCTCTTTTGCGTTGGCCACGCTTGACTTTTGTCATCGCAGCGAGTCTACCGTGAGAATACACAGTTCTCCGTTGTGACTGCGTGAACGAGGGTATAGAGCGACAGCTATAGAACAAGAGTTATGTGTGGCAGGTGGTTTGAAATCCATGTGCGTATGCAGAAGTGTGTATTTCGCAAGATCTTTCAGTATCATCCGAAACCATCCCAGATGATTGAGTGGGGGATCCTTCGGCTTAGCCCTCTACTCCATGACCAGTCCGGCCCAACACTTAGCACTGCCTCGTAATGCCAGCGCTCGGCCACTGAGTCGGGAGCCACATAGCAGCAATCACCGAGTACTAATCTGTGAAGACGAAGGCAAAGTTACGCTGGTTGCAAGGCCACGGCATGTATATTATACGTGGACTTGAAAGCTCGGGGATTGTCTTGCTATTTGTTTCAGCTGCCAATTTACATGAATGTATTCTTGATCAGTGAAACTGCACTCAGATGACGTGACCGAGTAACTAAAGCTGCATAGGCCATCTCTCGTCTAACTAGAGAGGGTGGCCTACGCAGAGGGCTGCAGAATGATCCTTCTGTAGGTCACCAGAGGCATATCTCTAGTGTCCCGGACAGAGAGTATGAGATGCATCGTCTATAAATTCAAGGTCAGCATTCGACTCAGACGTTCTTTTGATGAAAGACTTCGAAATGTCATAACACGGATAAAGACTTGCCTGATTCTTGAGTGGCTCAACGCTCACGACACTGCCATCTGCAGTTAAGTTTGCGATATCCATGTTCTGACTGACCAAGGGAATAGTAAACCCTTCCAAGTCTCTACCAGACGCTTCGCGATAATGAAACCATTCAAATGACAGGGCATCGGAGTCTGGATCCCAGCTCTCGGCCGCATCCAAGACTAGGCTTTCACCAAACTGGTACTCAACTTCGAGACTTGACGGCCCACATGAGCCATTGACAACCGCGATCGGCTGGTGGTTATTTTCGCCAAATTTTCCATTGACAGTCCACTGCATCCGGGAAGCAAAATCGTGCTGGAAATCCTCTCTCCATCGCCAAATGGTCGCGTATTTGCTTGAGAACGCCTCCCCATTCGCGCCACGGACAAAGTCCGCAGTATCGCTGTACAACCTGCGGCCCCCATCGGCTGTAGATGTGTCCAGCAATGAGTATCGGCCACCCCATCCACCCCACTGGGGATTGTCAATATCTCCAAGTCCATTTTGGACGAGGGACAAAAAGGCAGGGGTGTCGCCCTCCATGATGAAAGTCCAGTTGAGGTAGTGCGAGCCTAGAGGTCCGATACGGATATGCTTCTGGAGCCAATCGTTGGAGACAATCTCCGTGTTTGGGCCGCCTTTATCAAAGTGGCGATACTCTTCTCCCGAGATGCCGATCCAAGTTGGCTGCGTGTATTCGTTCCAGCCATGAAGAGAGACAATGTAGAACAATTTGGGGAACCGATCGCGAATCCAAGGTCCGGCATCATCTTGGTCTGAGATTGAGTAGACTCGGAGAGTGTCAACGAATCTGCTGACAGCATCAGCATCGCGCGTTGACGAAACGTGTTGAAGAGCTTCAGCCAGAACAGCTGCTCCGCCCCAGACTGACACCCATAGCGGATCAGTGTCGCTCGATTTGTCTGCGGCTTGGACTAGGGCCACAGCTGCGCTGCTCAAGTTGTTCTGATTGAGGGACGCAAGACCATAAACCGCGTGGCCACTGGACACCTTGCCCAAGAGGCCTTCGGCGGAGGGATAAGTAGCATCGGCAGGTACATTGCTGTTGAAGTTGTCGACCACCTCGCCATACCCTCGGATAACCTCCTGGATAGTGTCGGCATCCGTACGGTTTCGCAGCCAGGTCGAAGTTATCGCCGCAATGCCTTGGATGTCTAACTCATTTGCATAGGTAAGGAAACGGACGAGGCTCATCTGGTCGTCTGGTTCATTGCTCATGTCGGTGAGGACAAAGACACGGTGCTTGTGTTTGTATCGAGAGGACTCGCATTGTGTGCTGGCAAAGACCAGAGATGCAAAGATGGAGAAGAACAGGTAAGTCAGCCAGAGTGACTGCTTCCGTGCGGGCGTCATACTGAAGAGACTGGCCTAATGCGAGAACAAGTTCAGGTCTAAGTCTTGCAACAAACTGCTGGTATTTGAGTGCTTGTTTCGATCCAAGGTCTTCACGTTGAGCGAGTCTGTGTCTTCGAGGCAAGTAAGGTTAAATATAACCTTAGACCATATACGATCCCCCACTCCGAGGGATACCAATACTCTTTTAGGGCTAAGAAATCAGGTTGTGAACAGTAGAGCTGCTCTATGGGTAACTTGAGCCGATCAAGCATCAGATCGAAGACCATCATGACTGCACTGGGAGGTGATTGCTGCCCACATACAATCCTTTTTGCATCAATCGAGTGGTTCGACTTGACGGATCGAGTAGCCAGCCAGCAAAAGCTCTACCTCGCTTTCCAGATACAATGCCCCCGTGGATATTATGCCCGCAAAGAGCTCAGGGTTACATTACATGACAATCGAGTACAGATCGTGCACCCCGCCAAACGCGGGGTATACGCGTATTAATTACCCCAGATCCGTAAAAGAGGCAATACAGGGTGCTTACGATTTCCTACTTTGGCCAACCAGGGCTTCAGTTACGTGATCGCCCAAGACCTCGAGCGGGCTCTCCGGAGCCGAATTCTGCCGTCAATAATCCTGGTATAACTCTGCGATTGGTGTCTGCCCCCATTATACAACCTGGTGTGGAACACCGTGAGCCTCCGCGGAGAAGCTCGGAAGCCGGTGCCCGGAGTCAAGACGGCCGATCATCTGTCAAATTCCACGCGATTGGTTGCTGCATGTGAGGATTCCCAATGCTGGACGATTTCAAGTCCTAGAACTGAACTCATTTTCATTCTCTAATGCCATGACTTGAAGCCAATGCACTCATGGTTCGACGAAGTGCCCCCCATTTCAAAACAGTACAGTTACCCGAGTGTCGTCAATACAAGAATTATGTGCTTATGATACACCCAGAGATTGAGTCACTGGCTGATAGCTTCACTTCCATGCAACAGTCGCTCCAGAGTTGTGAGATTCCCTTGCGAGTTCGATAATCCTGATCGCATCTCGAGACTGCCTCGCCTTGACCTCCAACTCGGCTTTACCGTTGATGGCATCCGCGAGGTTCTCATAAATGCCTAGCCACCGCCCCGTGATGGTTGGGACTCGCCCAACATACTTCTTCGTCGCCTCATCGAACTTCTGGTCATTGCTGAACTCCTTGTATGTCGTCAAGGTACCATAAACCTCCGCAGGCTCTTCGCCGAAGCCAGGCTCCAATGGCTTGCGACCCTCTGCGATTTGCTCCTCTTGAGGGCATGTGCTTCTTTGTTGGAACTGCGAGAATTGATTAGTTAATCAAACTCTCCTTGTGGATCTTGTTGCAACTTTAGAAGCAGACTTACCTTGAGCCAAGAGCCCTTGGTGCCTCGAATGAAGTGCTTCAACTGTTGCGACATGGGCGTGGTGACTGATGTCTTCACAGTGACGAGGAGGTCTTTTTGAAGCCCTTCATACTGTAGGATAATTGTGAAAGAGTCCTCAACCTCGCTCTCAATGCCTCTTTGAGCTCTGAAGAAGCCTGTCACGGACTTGGGACGACCAAACAGTGTGACAGCCTGGTCAATACTGTGAGTTCCTGTGAGGATGCAAGGTTGCAGTCAGACAAAGATGATCAGAGTCGAGCGGAAGATCTAAGAAATGCTTACCCAGACCAAAGGCCATGCCATCGCCAGGGGTGTACTCTTTTTTCGTCATTCCAGAGAGCCAAGGAGGCGACTCGAAGTCATAGTGTATTTCTGCCTCTTTGATATCTCCCAACGCATCCTCTTTGATGAGTTTTCTCAACGTCTGGAAATCGCCATCCTGATTTTCTTTTAGCAACTGCGCGGACACATAACAGGAGAAGAAAAATCATGAATGAAAAGTCACTTACCCATCTCCGGTTTTGGAAACATGAGAGAATCAGGCCCTTGCTCTCTGCAAGCTCAATGACACGATCTGCCTCCTCTGACGATCTCGCAAATGGCTTGTCCGCAATTGCTGTGTGCGACAGTCAGATTCAACATCATGCTGCGGAGAGCCTGGGCTATGGGTCAAGACATACCATGTTTTCCAGCTCGCAAGGCTTTCTCAGCAAACGAAGCATGGGTGTCGGTATGTGTTGCGACAACAATAAGTTGCGTGTCAGGATCAGCGAAGAACTCCTCCTCTGTGCGATAGTGCCTGATATTGGGGAAGTCGACTTTGCAGTGGGAGCCAGGCGCCGCCGAAGACAGGTCTTTGGGAGCCTCTGCTCGTTGAAGGATGGCGATCACTTGGTAGTCATTATTGGCGGTGATGAAGGGCAGGTGAAAGTTCTTGGCGGCGAAGCCATAGCCCACAACACCAACTTTGATGGTGGACATGATGAAGGTGAGAAGACTTTTGCTGAGGTGGAAGTTGCAACGTGATACTAAGCAAGGTGAATTCGTACGTCGTGATGAGCCCAAGTTGTCCACATGGAATTTCTGGCTTCACAAGTTATGAGCTTCTGATGGCCAAGGTATTTATGTCATGACCGTGGTGCGGGGCACCGTCGCAATTAAGCCCGGCGATATTGGAGGATGGGCTTGGGGGAATTGGCGCAACGCCAAAGCCGATACTCCGCGGGTAGACTCCACAATGGCACCTGCAACTCAAAGTCTCAAACACATCTCTCGACATTGTTGAAGTCGGATTACTAATTGATCGCGTCTGTGTTTTTGGCATTGAGCGCGCAATTTTGCTCACTACAAAGAAGTCAATCTACATATATGTACTAGCACGGTGCAGCAGACAACGTCGATGTCTCTCTCTGCCAAGCTGTATGGCAAAGCGATCCACACTTTTTTGTCCAACTGTTAAACTTGCCTAAAGAAGCAGGTCACTG